ATCTGATTTATCTTCACAAAGACATGATATTGATTATTAAAATTTAATGAAATCAAAAAATGTATTTGAAAAAAGTAATAAAATGTATTTCGTAAGGCCTTAAAAATTTAATTTACTTTTAATAAATTGCTGTTAAATTGTGTACGTTTCATGATTTCAATTAATTAGACATGCTTTTTGATTCACATTTTTAATTTAACCATTAATACAGTCTAGAAACAATTTAAATGGAAAAAAACAGAATCCAGAAAAATTAAAAAAGAAAAAAACGGAATTTGGAAAAAAATCAAACTGATTTCATAGGGCCCTAAACATGGTATTGTGGTAGATTTATTACGAATGTGTTATCAGTACTTTCTCATATAGCCAAAATAATAAAGTTTATATAAATAGTGTGCTCTCACCACTGGAAAACGCCACATTTCTCCAGCATTTTGACTCCAGCTGGCTTTGCAGACAGAGTACCCAGAAACAGGAAGTAGTGCTGACTGAGGGTGCTGAGGAGGCCGTTGCTATGGAGACTGCGTTCAGATTTAAGCCCAGAAGAGGATGTGAGCCACTGGACGGTATCCTTCACAAGCTCCTCTAAATACGCCTGACCGTCCTACAAAAATGGAAGAACATAAACCAAGTTAACTGCTGCTGTGTCTCTTATGGAGTAATTTAACAAAGGCTCAAAGGTCTTCATTTCTCACGTCCTCCGAATCCAAGAGGAACTGGATAAACTGGCAGCCCGCTACAGTCAGCTGTCTGGCTTTGGCGTGATCCAGCTCCAGAGCAGAGTACAGCTTACTGCTGGGCTTATAGAAATACAGCAACCTCCTTACAAACCTACATACAAACAAACATACAGTAGAGATGTAGTTTGTGGTTAGTGCTTCAAGAAAATGTAGCACATGATGTTCATGATAGGTCACCACACGCTGGTCTTACTTGTGCATCTGCTCGTCCTTGTTGTTTCTGAGGTTCACATTTGGCCACTAGAAAGGAAAAACAACACAGTAAGATTTTTTTTAAAGCTCCTTTAAGAAGTCTCTTATGCTCACCAAGGCTGCATTTATTTTTCAGCTGTCTTCAGTGTCACATGATCCTTCAGAAATCATTCTAAAATGCTGATTTGCTGCTCAAGAAACATTTCTTATTTTCAATGTTGAGAACAGTTGGGCTGCTTAATATTTTTGTGGAAATCCTGATACATTTTCTTTCAGGATACTTTGATAAACAGCAAGTTCAAACAAACAGCATTTATTTGAAACAGTAACCTTATAAATTACTATCACTTTTAATCAGTTAAATGTGTCTTTGCTGAATAAAAGTATGAATTACTTTATAAAACGAAAAAAAAATCTTACCGACTTAACTATTTTGTTAAAATGTTTTTGCTTAAAATTGTGCTCATGTTACCTTTCTTTCTTTAAATAAATGCCACTTGGTTTGATATTTTATTTAATGCACTGACATTCAGACTTTTAAAAGTGTCAGGGGTCACTCTATTGCTCCGTTTGTAACGGCACTATACCATACTACGTGCAATTATGAAATACTGTATGCGTTATGTCTCTTTGCACATTATGTGAATTTTCTGTATGCATGGAATACACAGATCACATTCTTGACTCACTATTTGATTTGATTGCTAAAAAGAAGAGTTAAAATTGCAAAATGTGTTTTATTTCAGGAATAATAATAATAATAATGCATTTTATTATACTGTGCTTTTCTCAAACCCAAAGTGCTAATTGAATGCAACTTCCTGAATTAAACATGCAATACAGTAACTTCAAGTCACGACAATTTAGCAGTCTTCTCTAAGAAATTATGATTTATTTATTATTGCTGTTTCACATACTATTTTTCAAAAGTAGACAGAATATTGTACAGTATGTAGTAAGCATTATGCTAGTATTCTATCCAAACATGGCAGGAAGAGTGAGTTGGGCCTGCTCCTCGTTTACCTTCAGTATAGTGATGATCAGAATCCAGTTCCAGTTCAGGTTCTGTTTGTGATTGAGGATCTGACTGTCCCTTAAGTTCATCATCAGCGCCTCTTCAGTGTCCTACACCACACAAACAACTCAGAAACTTCTGCCGCGTCACATATTATTAAATTAATCTATATAAACAACGGGTGAATTTGACAGAAACATATCACATCCCAAAATCAGTACAAATCCAATGTAGTACAACAAATGCAACAACGATGTGTAAGTACTTTACAATTTAAATATCTTATTTTCTTACATTACAGTAATCAGAGTTGAGTGGAGGAAATGTGACAACTGAAAAACTATTTTATTAGCCTAAATTAGGCTACATTTTCTTAAAGCAAAATCTAATTTCTTATTTCTTTTCTCTGATTTTGGGGTGAAATGTTCTGGAGATGTACTTGACAGGTGTTTTGAGATTCACCTCAGGCAAACTATGATATAGTGCGTGTACCTTCATAATATAGATGTCCTTCTGTAGACGCTGGTGCTGCTCTCTCTTGTGAGTGGAGTTGGACGTCCTGCGCAGGATGTGATCCAGGTAAAGACTGTAAGGTTTGGGGCCACAACGTTTCTTTTCGTGGAAACGCTTGAGGTGGTTCACGGCTGCACTGGCACGCCTGGAAAACACAAGATTTAAAAGCAAAAATGAATTGCCTGATAGTGGAAAACATTGTTTTGACACATGCTTTCGGACTATTGTCTGTGTGTGTGTTCACATTGTTGCACTCACAGCCGTTTCTCCTGAGAGATGTCAAAGGAAGCAGCCATGTTGATTAGCGTGGGCAGACAGTGCAGATGATGACTGTGAGAGTGAGGAAGAATCGTATTGGCCTGGAAGAGAGAAGAATCATTATGTGAACAAAAGTGACATTTTAGGTCCAAAAACAAAGGTTAAAGGGAAAATTAAACAGCAGTCCAAATGCATGTATAGAATTTGGTTTACTAAATAACAGATCAGTGACTATGGTGCATCACCTGACAACTTTTGTTTTACATTTTAATTTTGATTAAATGTTTATCTAAAAAAGTTTTTAGGATCATTAAAGATTTTTGCATTGTTGCAATAAGCACAAATCATAACAAATAAGCACATTCTGACCCCCAAATTCTCAATATCTCAATGTGTCTAGATTTATTTACAATTTATATTTATCTTCTTATTTATGATGTAGTTTTTTCTAAGAAAGTTTTTTTTTCCCCATAAACAGTTATTTTATTAAAAACATTTTTAGGATAGCATTCTTTACAAATTTTTAATTAGCTTTTCTATTTTTTTAGTTTGAGTAAATCTGTTATGTGCTTTTGTAAACTGTATTAACATTGATTAGATTTGTTTTTTTATTTCAATTTAGCTTTCTTTTATTTCAGTTTTAGCCAATTTAGTTCTTTAGCTTTTGTAACTTCTGTAAATTTTTTATTTAAAATATAACTTCGTCAAGTACTAAAAGCTATTTTTAATATTTTTTCAGTTTAGTTTTAGTTAACGACACTGCAGGCATAAGGAAAATAAATTACATAAATTACAGTAAAAAAAAATGTAAATCTGATCATTGTAGAGTTTTCTAAAAAGCTTTAATGAAAGTAAAGCTACATTTGTGCACGGTTTTATAAAAACACACTAAGCTGTCAAATAAGAAATATTACATAATTCAAGTTCATGGCCCCATAATAAATATTTATGAAGTGTAAAAAGGTAATGAGCCCTGTTTACAGATCTGAAGTAATGTAATACCATGTGCAGAAGTTCTCCGAGCAGTATGGTGGCTCTCACTGATATCTGTCCATCACTGCTGGTCACCACCTCCACCAGACCCTGAGCAACCAAAAACATTAGCAATAAAAACATCATAGACCCCTTCCACTAAAGGTAAAGAAAACAAGCATGCATCAAGTGATCATGTGATTATATACCTCCAGTAGTCCACTGTTGATAAAGGCAGACAGCAGTAGTGCCAGGTAGTTGTCCATGAGGTCTGGTCTGGTAATGGACAACACAAGAACATGAATGCAACGTTTAACCCAGAATATTCCAGTACTGCAGTCAGGCACCGTGTGTCACCTGGATCGTGCTCTGTGAGGCAATATGACTTTGGCTTCTGCAGCTACAAACCCATCAGATAGTCTCCAGCCGTCCTGAAACTTGCTGGGGTCTGAACGGCACAAACATCAGCATGAAACGCACGTCCCAGACAGAAAGAGCAACATGCAAATCAGAGTTTACAGAAACTCCTCTACAGCAGTCAGTGAGGTGTTTCTGATCAGATGAAATGTGTTTAGGAATCGAGATGCTTCTTACCCACGCTGTGCAGGGCTTCCTCAAAATCTCCTGTCACTATAGGAACAGGCAACCTGAAGATCTCGTACATGACTTCTAATAAGGCTTTCTGCAGATGCAAAAATAAATGGACAGATCCAGCTTTGAAACAGATTTATTTCAGTGAATCAGTGGCAAGCAATGCTTCAACACTTTTTCAATTCATGGCTCAAATAACTTAATAATGTTTTAGTTCAAATATATGTAGTTAAATACTGTGGTTTATGCCCACATATGATTAAAAATTATTTTTTGTTCATTTAGTTGTATAACAAGTCTCTTATGCTCACCAAGGCTGCATTTATTTGAGCAAAAATACAGTAAAAACAGTAATATTGTGAAATATTATTACCATTTAAAATAACATTTTTTTATTCGAATATTTTTTTAAATGTAATTTATTTCTGTAAAGCAAAGCTGAGTTTTCAGCATTATTACTCCAGTCTTCAGTGTCACATAATCATTCTAATATGTTGATTTGATGCTCAATAAACATTTCTTATTATTATCAATGTTGAAAACTGCTTAATATTCAAATATATAATGTTTTAGCGACAAACATGTCACATGTTAGTCTCAAAAAAATAAAAAAAATAAAAGTATTTAAAACTCACCCTGACTTCCATGTTTGGTATACAGAGCAGGCCTATCAAAGACTGGACCCCTGAGTTCCCTGATTTACACAGGTTGATAATACCTATAGGAGAACAGCAGAATAGAGGGATGAAGAGCAGAAGTGGAGAGCGTTTCCCTTTTCTACTCTTTAGATGAAGATGCAGTAGATTTTATACCTGACCACGAGCGGAAGGCTGCAATGATGGCCATTTTACTGGCTAAAAAACGAGCTTCTCTGTCCTCCCTATGGAGCACAACGATTCATAAAAAAAAGTTACTGTCCGAAATGCACATGATTACAATGCATTACAGGTAAATGAGGTAATGGCACAGAAAAATATGTATGTGTGTGTGTCTCTGTGTGTGTATATATTAGTGCTGTCAAATGTCTAATCGCGATTAATCGCATCCAAAATAAAGGTTTTTGTTTACATAATATATTTATGTGTACTGTGTTTATTTATTATGTATATATAAATACACACACATTCAGTATATATTTTGAAAATATTTACATGTATATACATTTATATATTTATATTATATATAAATATTTAATATATAAACATA